GCTTTAAGCTCGCACAGTGTGAATAATCTCCATAGATGAGTGGCTGTAACACTTACTACCCACCAGGAACAAAAACTGTGTTACATCGTGTCATCAGCGTGTAGCAATGGAGCGAGGAGGCTTCGTCGGCTCGCCACCAGCAGCTGCAGGTCGTCGAGATGACCCTGCCTGCTGACGTTTGCTTTGCGGCATCCAACAGTGTACACACACACGTGTGTACACCTTCGTAAACACATGTTTACGCCTTCTTAAACACGTGTGTACACACCTACGTTAACACAAATAGCCCCCCCCACCTCCGATAGCCTTTTAACAGACTGTTGGGGCAAGTGCTGTGAGTGAGAGAGTACTGCACAAGAGGGGGGTGGGTGGCTAGCACCACGCCCGGCCGCCTTTGTCTCCCCACCACACTGGGTACACATTTGAGGCTGAGTCGACCTAGGGGAGGCCCATGACCGGTTCAGATAATCGTCACTGGTGTTGGCCGTGATCGGGAATCGAACTCGGGTCGCCGGGTTGGTAGCGCAGCACGCTAACCACTACACCACCGCTCCCTACACACACACAGAGTACACACACACACAGCACGCTAACCACTACACCACCGCTCCCCACACGCAGTGCAAAAACAACAACCGCTGCCATTCACCACGAAGTGGCGGTTACGTCACCACAGCGTTTGTGCCAGGCCATGTGCACGTTAAGGCCACGTGAAGTGTCGAACGCCCACTGGCGTCTGGCAGGAGGACACAGTGTACGCACACACACACGCATGTACGTACAAACGCGCGTGTACCCATACAGTGTGTACACACAGTGCGTGCACGTACACAAAACACGTACACACGCGCGTGTACAGAGTGCGTGCACACACGAGTATACACACGCAGTGTACACGCGTCTACACAGTACACACACGCACGCGTGTACACACAAACACTCGTGTACACACACACACGCGCGTGTACACACACACACGCGCGTGTACACACACACACGCGCGTGTACACACACACACGCGCGTGTACACACACACACGCGCGTGTACACACACACACGCGCGTGTACACACACACACGCGCGTGTACACACAACGTGCACACCAAAGGTGCACACACACACGCGCGCGCACACACACGCAGTGAGCACGCGCGTGTGTACACACGCACACACGTGTACACACACACACAAGGTGCACACACACACACTCGTGTACACACACGCAGTGTACACACACACACACGTGTACACACACACACACGCAGTGTGCACACACACAGTGTACACACGCACACACGCAGTGTGCACACACACACACACAGTGTACACACACACACGCAGTGTGCACACACACACACACAGTGTACACACACACACACAATGTACACACACACGCAGTGTGCACGGACACACACACGTGTACACACACACGCAGTGTGCACACACACACGCAGTGTGCACGCACACACGCAGTGTGCACGCACACACGCAGTGCACACACACACAGTGTACACACACACACAGTGTGTACACACACACGCAGTGTGCACACACACGCAGTGTACACACACACACGCAGTGCACACGCACACACGCAGTGTGCACACACACACAGTGTACACACACACACAGTGTACACACACACACACAGTGTACACACACACACAGTGTGCACACACACACAGTGTACACACACACACACAGTGCACACGCACATACACAGTGCACACGCACACACGCAGTGTGCACACACACACACGTGTGCACACACACACGTGTACACACACACACACAGTGTGCACGCGCACGCGCCGTAGGATTTTCCGTGGCGCGAGGCGACGGCCATGGACGCGGAGTCCGCGGCTCTGCCCCGCAGGGAGGCGGCGCTCTACGGCCAAATCCTGGTGAGGCTCCCTCACGCCCCTCGTCGTCCCCTCATCACCCCCCCCCCCTCACAGCTCGTCATCGTCTTTCATAATCCCCCACCTCCTCTCGTCATCCTCACTGCCGGTCTCGCGTTCCGTGTCCTCTCATCCAGCCGCGCTCTCTCCTCTCCCTCGGCGGCATCCCCCAATCGCGATCTGCTCGCCTCCTCTGTCATCTCGCATCGTCCCTACGCACCCTGCACCTCGCCTCGTCTCTGCTCATCTCTCCTCTATGACGATTAGCTCTCTCCTCCTCGCCACGAATGTCTCCTCGTCATCTCCACCGCTCTCATCTCCATTCATTCCGTCTCCCGCGGCGCCTCCTCTCATTCCCCTCGCCTCACGTTCCCTCCCCCCAGTCTCCTCGTCTCTCCGCCTCTCGTCTGCGGGCATGGTCACAGTTCGCAACAAACGAGTGACGGTGTGTGTGTGACGGTGTTGGTTTGTGTGTGTGTGTGATGGTGTGTGTGTGTGATGGGTGGGTTGGTGTGTGTGTGATGGTGTGATGGTGTGGGTTGGTGTGATGGTGTGGGTTGGTGTGTGTGTGTGATGGTGTGGGTTGGTGTGATGGTGCGTGTGATGGTGTGTGTGTGATGGTGTGGGTTGGTGTGATGGTGTGGGCTGATGCGTGTGATGGTGTGTGTGTGATGGTGTGGGTTGGTGTGTGTGTGTGATGGTGTGTGTGTGTGATGGTGTGGGTTGGTGTGTGTGTGACGGTGTGGGTTGGTGTGTGTGTGATGGTGTGGGTTGGTGTGTGTGTGATGGTGTGGGTTGGTGTGTGTGTGATGGTGTGGGTTGGTGTGATGGTGTGGGCTGATGCGTGTGATGGTGTGTGTGTGATGGTGTGGGTTGGTGTGTGTGTGTGATGGTGTGGGTTGGTGTGTGTGTGATGGTGTGGGTTGGTGTGTGTGATGGTGTGGGTTGGTGTGTGTGTGATGGTGTGGGTTGGTGTGTGTGTGTGATGGTGTGTGATGGTGTGGGTTGGTGTGTGTGTGATGGTGTGGGTTGGTGTGTGTGTGTGATGGTGTGGGTTGGTGTGTGTGTGATGGTGTGGGTTGGTGTGTGTGTGTGATGGTGTGTGGTGGTGTGGGTTGGTGTGTGTGATGGTGTGGGTTGGTGTGTGTGTGATGGTGTGTGATGGTGTGTGATGGTGTGTGGTTGGTGTGTGTGTGATGGTGTGGGTTGGTGTGTGTGATGGTGTGGGTTGGTGTGATGGTGTGGGTTGGTGTGTGATGGTAGCAGGCTAGTGTGAACAGGTCGTGGGCATCCCCTAGGTCGACTCAGACTTACATTAGTTCCTCGTGCTCTATGTAAACTGCACTGAGGAGACAAAGGCGGTCGGGCGTGGTGCTGGCCACCTCCCCCTCATGTACCGTAACGGCCTTCATCAGTAGTCACAAACAGCACTGATCACAGCTGTGGTTTAAAGGCTACCCTGGGGATTTGTGTCTATTTTTATAAATGGTGCAAGTGATGTGTGTACATATATGTGAACAAGTCAGTGTTGATTGCTGAAGGCCTGGAGCATAGACGTTGGGGCATAGAGGTACAGTACAACAATGGGCGTTCGCTGCACTGCCCACCGCTGACAAACCTCTCAAATGCGTTTAGTACCGTGTCCTGACAAGGTTCTGGGGAGAACACGGATATCACGTGTGGGGTGGTTATTGCATACACTTATATCTAAATAAGTAATATATTTTTAAAACACGCTGTAATGACATGTACCGTAATGGAAGAAATCCTCGACTCCAGGAAGTGGACCCGGAGCTTGCCACAACGTAAGGGACCGTGACCATTTACAGCCAACGTCAGTTGAGCGTGGACAATTAGACCCAAGCCGAAACATAACATAAAAAATCATGTTTTAGAATGTTTTTTTTATTTTTTTTTATGATAGAATATAGTATTGTCATCAGTAAGACATAAGTATACCAAGTTTGCAGTCGATACCACATTGGGAAGTGGGTAAAAATTGAGTTACAAGATTTGAGGATACAACAACGACAAGAACAACAACAACAACAGGCAGCGTGAGTTAAATAAAAGCGTGTTACCCCTGGCACCCCACCACGAGAAGGGGAGTCGAGCCAGTTGCGCAATAGGGCAGCAGGCAATGGAGGTAAGATGTTCTATTTCCATACGGCTGCTGATGTAGATGCAGAGCAACAACTACTATTTCACATTCAGGTGGTCAGGCCCAGATAACGGCGTCAGGAGCAGAGGAGAGCATTGCTGTGGCGATGTCTCCCTCAAATTTGTGGATCGGGTATTGCGTCGTTAGAAGTTGTACGAGCTTGTTTGCCCGTCCTAGGACAGAAGCTGTAATGTTTACGAAAAAGAATTGAGCAGAGTATAATTGTATCTTGTGTAAATTTAATGGCAGTGAATCTTGCAGTAAAGTATGTCATCAAACACTTCACTGTATTTCACTGTAGCGCTGTATTAATGGCAGTGAATCTGGCACAAAACGAAGTCATAAAATACCTCACTTCATGTCACTGTAGCACTGTATATAACTGACCAATTTGTTCAAATTCACTGCTCTGATACTTTATTCTCTTCTGAATAAATAGGAATTCGATACAATATATGGAAAATCACCGAGAGATGTCTATTTCACCATAATATAGAAGCATAAATTAGGCTTACCTTTTGTCTCAAGTGCTAAAGAAATAAATAAAGACACCAACTCCACTTTGTTGCTACGTAGAATTATTTATTAGATTCACTTTCAATAAAGAAACGTTAAACTTAAAGCGAATTTGCGAAAAACATGATTTCCACTCGCCCTTCTGCGTGAGTGTAGAAATCCACCCACTCATGAATATGAATGACGGGGGGGGGGCATGTGGAGTGACGTCACGCACGTTACACACAAACAGACATTCTTGGCTCATTATAGTAGTAATGGTCTGTTCTGGATGACCATCCCAATGAGTGGGGCACGGAATGGATTCCAGGAGGGAAGTCTCCAGGACGAACAAAGAAGAGCAGAAGGAAGAGAGAAGGAGCAATACTGGGCAGGAAGTGGAGGAGGAGGGGGAAGAGGGGGAGACGGAATGACGGTGCCAAGATGTTGAAGATGAGAGGATGATGATGAGAGGGAGAGAAGAGAGGGAAAAGAGAGAAGGAAGGAGTGATCAAAGTGAGCTGAATGATGCACAGAGGTCGGGGAGAGGGAAGATGCAGAGTTGGCGTGGCCACACAAGTCTGTCCAGAAGCCTTGATATGGGTTAGAAAGACCGTATAGAAGTGTGTTTCATTGATAACATCCGTCACTGCGGTGGATCATGTTTCATTGGCATCACAGCACTCACGGCTCACGGTCTTTATCTCCCTGTTCACATCTCCTTATCTGCATCTCGCTCTCTGCGTCTCCCTCACTGTGTCTTCCTCTCCGTGTCTCGCAGAAATGCTACGAGAAGACCCAGTACAGGCTTGGTCTTAAGTTATGCAACCAGATCCTGGCGAACCCACAGCTCGCTGAGCACGGAGGTGACCTGGGTTCTACACTGACGATCCACACAGCTTTATCATTGAAAATCATCGTAACATGTGGAGAGATTTTTTTTACCTAATCGGCAAACTTGCTGGGAAAATACAATGAATGAAGCGTTTGTTTATTTTGTTCGTACAATCAACATTCCATGTTTCACAGTAAAATTATATTTTAAGGGGTTAACTGCAGTGTTTTGTTCGTACAATCAACATTCCATGTTTCACAGTAAAATTATATTTTAAGGGGTTAACTGCAGTGTTTCCTGTGACAGCATAATTAAAGTCGGGGTTGATGTGTATGATATATGCTGGAAATGTTTATAGATGTGCGTATATCTGTGTATCTCTGTCTATCCAAGAAACTGAAGAGACAGACGCACAGAGCACAGAGATATGGTGATACAGACACGCAAGGACAAAGATCCCCCGTATAACCTTAACATACTGTTTGGGCAAGTGCTGTTAGTGAGCAATTATATCGGCTGTCAAGGCGCACTAAGGGGGTGGGTGCATCATTGATCGGCTGAAAACATCCTGAAATAAAAAGCAAATGTAGCAGCAGGAACCTGCTGAAAACCAGAGCTGTCTCTAGGGTATGGCGAATTTAGGGAGACCGCCCTTGGCTGCATGCTTTGGGGGGTACCCGCACCCCCCTATGTATGCTGATGAGTTTCAGTTGTACCCACGTCCCTTGCAGAGACGCTGGCTCTCAAAGCGCTGGCGCTCAGCAAGCTGGGCCGGCGTGACGAGGCTCGCGAGTGCGTCCGCCGGGGCCTCCGCAACAACCTGGAGAGTCATGTGTGTATCCTCCGCATGCAGCGTGACCCTGGCGTCGAGTCACCACCACCCAGCGTTGGCCGGCATCAACGGCCCGTACGCTGCTGCCACCCTGCGAGGCTGCGTCGTACCGATGTTGCGAAACGCCCGCCGTGGTCGCCCACGGCTCTTCCTCTTAACGCATCTGGCTGATCGTCCAATACCATTGGCTGTGAGGCTGGAGCTATGGGTTGAGCCTGTTCGCTGCACGTGCCTTGGTGTTACCACTGTGCCACTGATTTACCATGTCACCATGTCATTGTGTGTCTCTGACAGTACAGTTCATATTGTATGCACACCTTAGTGTCACCACTGTGTCACCACATCAGCGCATGTCTCTGGCAGCATGTGTCACGTCGCTACGTGTCTCTGCACTGAACACGTTCCCTAGCACTCCTCGGCATTGCCCTGCCGGCGCGCGCCATGTGTCCATCTCCATCCTCGACCAAGCCCCACCTTCGGCTGATGCCCCCTTAGCGGCGCGTCCCGGCAGGCTGGCGCGTATATGGCTCACTGCAGCGTGCCGACGGGCACTACATGGAGGCGGCCGCCTGCGTGCGAAGGGCGCTGGGCGGGTGTGGCCGGGAGGGCGAAACGCGGCTCCTCGAGGAGCTCGCCACCCTGCAGCTGCTCGCCTCCGACCTGGCCGGGTTCAGGGTGAGTGCTCCTCTTTCCATGGCTCGTGGTCCGAATGTTGGCGTTGCAGCGGTGGGTGTTGTAAGTTGGCCAGACGGTTAAGGGCTCGAAGCACTGAGCTAGTGCCACTGAGCCCGGGTTCAAATCTGGGGGTTATTCTGGGGGTTCAGCCATCTGTGATTAATAACAATAATAATTTAGCACTTTTGGTGTTTGTACCTTTCTTATAGCAGAGGGCTATCATGAAGGCATTGTTTCACCAGACGCAGTCAGCAATATTTTTGCAGGAGGTGGCGATGTTGCAGCTTCTGCTGCTCTGTCTAATCCTAGCGTAGTAATTTGCAGCGTAGTTTTAAAAAATCTATATAAATAAAGCAGCATGTTCAAGGAGGGGTGGTGGGTGCAGGTTGCTGTGGAGATGGAATCTGCTTTAGTAGCCTGCAATCACATCACTTTAATTCCATCAAAAAAATTACCTGCAGCGCCTCGCCTATCACCATCCTTAACGGAAATAACGGTAATCCGATCTCCGACCCCCAGGAATAGGTCTGCAGGTTTGCAGACCATTTTTGTAAGGTCTTGGGGGAGAGGAATTCCGCTTAGCCCAGACAACATAATGGAGCAAGGTGGGGATGACCCTGCTAGGGCTGCCATGCCTTAACTATTGACAGAAATAGCCACCCCTTCTGAATAGTTGGCAGAGGTGCCATCTGTGAAGGTAGTGCGAGGGGCGATTCGGAGTCTGAGACGATCTCCCAAGCGAAATGCTGAAGGAGGGTGGCATCTGTGTGCAGACTGCCCGACATGACTTCATCACAACTGTTTGGACCACAGTACGGGTTCCGCAGGATTGGAAGGAGATTGTAACAACTATAGGGGGATCTCGCTTCTCAGTGTACTGGGTAAGGTCCTGGAAAGGATTATTATTCAACATTGCCTTGCCAGGCACGCTAAGGAGAGGCTTGCGGAGCCCCAATGTGGTTTCAGACCAGGGCGGTCCTGCACAGATACCATGTTCTCTGTTCGTCTGCTACAGAAGAGGTATCGGGTATTCCAGCAAGACCTACACCTCTGCTTTATTGACCTGGTCAAGGCCTATGATACCATCAACAGGCTAGTGCTGTGGGCAGTTTTTTGTACTTTTGGAGTCCCTGACTCTCTGCTCACAATCATTTAAGGGCCTTCATGATGGTGGACAGGCCCGGGTAAAGATACGTGGCCAGGAGTCGGAGCCATTCCCTGTTCACCTTGGGGTGCGACAGCAATGTCCTCTGGCTCCCACATAATTTTACATCTTTGACCACGTAGTTCGAGAAGCTTTCAATGGCTGTACCGGAGGAATATCCATCTGGTACAGATGTAACGGGTTCCGGAGACACTTGTAGATGTAACTTCTTTATTACAATACAACACTCCAACAGTACTCCAACACTCCAACAGTCCTGATACTCTGTTACAGCCTAGGTACACAGCCTAGCTACACAGCCTAGATACTCTACTCTGGCTACGCTCTGGAACTCGCCCTCACAAGGTCGTAGCGTCGGGAGTTCCAGAGTCCCACCACTCGCTCTCACAGCGTCCCAGGGTCTTCAGATGGTTGGTCGTGGGTCTTGGGTCTTTAGTTACAACTGGGCCCCGATCGTCCAGGGAGCTCTCCTTTTATGCCTGGTCCAACGAGGGGTGGGGCCGTGTGCGCCACCAGACATCCCACAGAGCACACACAGCCCCCCCCCCCCCCCCCCGTTGGCGGCGCCCAGGGGATTAAGCGCCTGGGAACTCAACGCCTGGCGCCCAGAGGCTTAAGCGTCTGGATCCCCTGGAAACCCAACGCCTGGCGCCCAGAGGCTTAAGCGTCTGGATCCCCTGGAAACCCAGCGCCTGGCGCTCAGAGGCTTAAGCGTCTGGACTCGCCTGGGATCCCAGAGCCCCCAGCAGCCCCTCCCTTCTTATGTCACTCCATTACCCCCCTCTACGTAGCCTCCAGCCGTCCCGGCTGTCAATAATTAGAAAGTTTAAATTAACGAAAGGGAGAGAGAGGAAAAAAATATGCGAGCCTCAACAGGAAAAGAAAAGAGAACAAGAAAGCAACCATAAAAACCATAACCAACCTGTACAACTCTACACTATATACAAGCATTAATCAACAAGAAGGTGAAGCAATGACACGTAAACAAACGACCCGCGGCACACCTAGCCCTCCTCGGGATCCGCATAGAAAATGGGGAATTAACAACAACAAATATACAAATTCCGACCGATCTGAGACCCAACCTCTCTCCAAGACTCGCATCGCAGCATATAGCTGTACCGACCGATCTGAGACCCAACCTCTCTCCAAGACTCGCATCGCAGCATATAGCTGTACCGACCGATCTGAGACCCAACCTCTTTCCAAGACTCGCATCGCAGCATATAGCTGTACCGACCGATCTGAGACCCAACCTCTCTCCAAGACTCGCATTGCAGCATATAGCTGTACCGACCGATCTGAGACCCAACCTCTCTCCAAGACTCGCATCGCAGCATATAGCTGTACCGACCGATCTGAGACCCAACCTCTCTCCAAGACTCGCATTGCAGCATATAGCTGTACCGACCGATCTGAGACCCAACCTCTCTCCAAGACTCGCATCGCAGCATATAGCTGTACCGACCGATCTGAGACCCAACCTCTCTCCAAGACTCGCATCGCAGCATATAGCTGTACCGACCGATCTGAGACCCAACCTCTCTCCAAGACTCGCATTGCAGCATATAGCTGTACCGACCGATCTGAGACCCAACCTCTCTCCAAGACTCGCATCGCAGCATATAGCTGTACCGACCGATCTGAGACCCAACCTCTCTCCAAGACTCGCATCGCAGCATATAGCTGTACCGACCGATCTGAGACCCAACCTCTCTCCAAGACTCGCATCGCAGCATATAGCTGTACCGACCGATCTGAGACGACCCATTGTTCACTCCCTGCACAACATGCACCCTAACAACTGAGGGATACAGTCCCAACGTAACGGGACAACTACACCTGAACACCACGAATCTCCAGCCCACTGTTTCAACGCGCCTCGGAGTGTTTCAATCTCCGGGCCGTCAGGGCGAGCCTACTGCTCCAGATGTACCACGGAGGGTCTCAACCTCCGGGCCGTCAGGTCAAGCCGTCAGCTATTCCATGACGGGACCACACTCTCCGAGCCCTGTGAGCGCACAGGCCACTAGGCCAGACATGCCACGGAGTGTTTCAATCTCCGGGCTGTCAGGTCAAGCCGCAGCCATAGCATGACGGGACCACCACTCTCGTGTTAGACACGCAACACCCGCTGGGCCATTGTCACCATCTGAAGATAAATGCCTATACAGTCTATACATCGTTAACAATGACAGCACAAGCTATACATTAACAATCACGAACAAAGCTCAATACAACCCATACATTGTTAACAATCACAAGCAAAGTTTCGCACATACATTGACAACACTCACGAGCGAAGCTCCACACAGTTTACCCAACAACAGTCACGACTCCCCTACGATAACGAAGAAAATGTCAACAAAAAAATCATTAATCCGGAGCACGTAAAATGTACGAAGTGTCAGGGGCCTGGTCCCAACCTTTGGCCAGAGCAGCAAAGGCGGCGACCAGCGAGTCGGTCCATGTGCCGGCCCCGGCGCTGGTTACAGTAAGAATGGCGCCCTCACTGTCCGGTCGCAGCACTGATGACGCAGTATGCTAGGTTGCCAACAGCTGTCACCCGGCGGTGAGGGACGCAGCGCTGATGACGCGGCGTCGTCGGGTTGGCACACGCTGGGCCCGGAAGTGACGTCGCTCCCAGCGGTCACTGCTCCTCTGGTGGAAGTGACGACACACCCGGAAGTATCCCTCACATCCGTGGGGGGAATGGCGGCGGCGGGCTCGGGCGAGCGCCGCGCCTCCTCTCTCCCTCCCGCCATCGGCCGCGAGCACCGCAGCTCGCCCAGGAGGGAGGCGGTGGCGCAGAGCAGCTCTGCGAGGCGAAGCAGCGCCTCCTCCATCTCTGCTCCCGACGCTGGAAAGGGGACGGTCGGCGGAGCAGACAGCTGCTCAGCCGGAGGTGCGGCGTTGTTGTCGGCCGGCGGTGCAGCGTCGCTGTCGGCCGGCGTTGGCCGCCCCATCGCTGCCTGCTCCTCTTCATCGCCGTCAGGACTGAAGGTACGTGGCTTACTTCTTGTCTCCATAGCCACTTCTGACGCCAAATGTAACGGGTTCCGGAGACACTTGTAGATGTAACTTCTTTATTACAATACAACACTCCAACAGTACTCCAACACTCCAACAGTCCTGATACTCTGTTACAGCCTAGGTACACAGCCTAGCTACACAGCCTAGATACTCTACTCTGGCTACGCTCTGGAACTAGCCCTCACAAGGTTGTAGCGTCGGGAGTTCCAGAGTCCCACCACTCGCTCTCACAGCGTCCTAGGGTCTTCAGATGGCTGGTCGTGGGTCTTGGGTCTTTAGTTACAACTGGGCCCCGATCGTCCAGGGAGCTCTCCTTTTATGCCTGGTCCAACGAGGGGTGGGGCCGTGTGCGCCACCAGACATCCCACAGAGCACACACAGCCCCCCCCCCCCCCCCCCCCGTTGGCGGCGCCCAGGGGATCAAGCGCCTGGGAACTCAACGCCTGGCGCCCAGAGGCTTAAGCGTCTGGACCCCCTGGGAACCCAGCGCCTGGCGCCCAGAGGCTTAAGCGTCTGGACTCGCCTGGGATCCCAGAGCCCCCAGCAGCCCCTCCCTTCTTATGTCACTACACAGATACAATGGGAGGCTGATCGATGCCTGGATGCGGTCGAGGGATGGCTTCCTGTTGGTCAACCATGTTATGTATGCTGATGATCTGGTGATTGCTGCTCACTCAGAGGAGGAGTTGGAGGTGCTGCTGTGCACCTTGGAGTGTGCCACCAAGAGGTTGGGTCCTACCATCAGTCCCACCAAAACTAAGAACCTGCCTAGGTATTTTGTGACATCAAACACTCCACCCCC